TTCAGAGCCGTTACAGCTAAATCTCTCATGGACAACGAACCTCATCTTTAATTGAAACGGGGTTCCCTATGTAAGACGAGCCTCATTACACAGCGAGGTTCGTCTTACAAAGTGTACTTCGTAGTAAATAAGCTTCTTCTGACGAATTTTGTCTTTACTGACTTCGTTTGATGAATTTCATCTTCACCAACGAACTTCGTCTTCGATAGCTGGAACCAACTGCATAGTAAACCTGATAAGTTTCCCTTAAATGAACCTCATCTTCATTGACGAGCTTCAAATCTAACGATGAGTTTTATCTTCACTGACGAACCTCATCCTTCGAAGATGAATGTCGAACCTTATTTCCAATGATGAGCTTTATTGTTTGTTGTCAAGTTTTACTGCTTGATAACCTGCGTTCTCGAGGTTGATCTTCACTAAACGACAAGCCTCGTCTCTGATTGAGACGAGGTTTGTTTCCTGACTATCCTTCTTATATTTTGAAATTTGGTATTTTTGAATGCCTACAAAACCCCCTTCAAAGTTTTCAGACTTGAATTAGGTTGCATTTAGTCTGAAACACTTTGAATACATATAGGCGTCTCGAACTCGCAGAGTTTATTTGATGAACCTAGTTTTGTCATGAACTTTTTCTTTACTACAAGGTTCAACACGGATATTATCCCGAGGTTCATTCTGGAGTTTGTCCCTCTATACGTGCTTTGTCAGGATAACAGTCATCTGACAAATGATACCTCGCGACTTCGTCAGCAATGGTGATATGTACCTTTTCCAGACCCAATAAATGGTTGCCAGCTAGTGCATAGAGATCTTCGTGAATCCTGTTCACATATCTTGTTGGGGAAAGATATCATCAAACAATCTCAACTAAAGATCGCGACCCTTGTTTCAACCTTTTCCCGCCCCGATATATAGCGCATCATCATATGAGAAGTCCTTTCTTCCCTCCGTCGTTTGGACTAGCTGAACTCCTCCTCTTCCAAAATTTCAATCTTTTCTCCTTCGCAAGCTCCTCAAACAAAATCAATGGCCCCCAAGACCGTTGTAGACCGAAGCAAGGGCAAGGGCAAGAAGGTTGTCCGTTCTTCACACGAACCCAATGTTCTACCTACTTTTTCGGGTAATGGATCTAAACACATGATTTGCGTTCTGAAAGATATCAACCTTGTCTATTTTAGACTTGGGTTTCTTGAGGAAGATGAATAATTTTTTCCAGACTCATGATAAAGATGACGTCTTTTTGATTTGATGAGGCTCGTTATCGATGAGGATCGTCTCTATGACTTGTCTCGTCTTTTGAGGAGTCTTATGCACTAGTTGAATCTCACGTGTCCAACGATGTTGGCTATCCTGACGAGGGTCGTTCTCTAGCTTTGTTAAATGAAATTCATTTATATGATGAACTTCGTCTTTTCATCGACTATGTTCGTTGGATTGACGAACCTTGTCTTCAAATGATGAACTGCGAACCTTGTCTTCAAATGATGAAATTCATTTATATGATGAACTTCGTCTTTTCATCGACTATGTTCGTTGGATTGATGAACTTCGTCTTTACATCAAGTCGATCATCTTCAAGTTCAACTTAAGGCTTTTTAGACCAAGCTGGCAGAGGCTGAGGCAGAGTTGGTCGGCATGATGGATATGAGGTAGACATTGGCCTCTAAACAGGTGCAGCATAAACCATTGCTCCAAGTAAAACTCGATCGAATGGAATAGCTAGAAAAAGCTGTTAATGATATGAACGCCTATTCTAATGAGGAACTACATAGGCGTGCCTTGGCTGACGTTGAGGCAGAACATCAAGAATCCTTGGCTAAGCTTGCTGAAGAGATTCGTCAGACCGCTGGATCTAGACGTTGAGGCAGAACATCAAGAATCCTTGGCTAAGCTTGCTGAAGAGATTCGTCAGACCGCTGGATCTATTTAGCTCTATTTCTTTTGTAATCTTGCTGAAGAGATTCGTCAGACCGCTGGATCTATTTAGCTCTATTTCTTTTGTAATCAGACTTTTGTAGCTTTTTTTTTCTTATATATAAGTAGAACTTCTGCTGTCTTTGTCCACTAGATCTACTTTGCACATCAACACATAATCTGATATCGAAGTTCATAAACTTTGTATTTCAAACTCCGCCTCGTATTTCAAATCTACCATAACGAGGTTCAAGCCTCATTCAATTGAGTCTCAGCATTTGAGCTCAATTAGAGGAATGACCTTCCTTATTAAACGAAGTTCGAATCCAATTTAAATCGAGTCTTAACATTTGAGCCTAATTAGAGGAACGACCTTTGTCAAAGACGAGGTTCGAATCCAATTTCAATCAGGTCTCAACACTTGAACCCAACTAAAAGAATGACCTTCCTCAAAGACGAGGTTTGAATCCAATTTCAATCGAGTCTCAGCGCTTGACCCAATTAGGGGAACGACATTCGTGGAAGACGAGATTCGAATCCAATTTCAATCGAGTCTAAACATTTGAGCCCAATTAGAGAAACGATCTTCGTCGAAGATGAGGTTCGAATCCAATTTTGATCATGCCACAACATTTGAGCCTAATTAGAGGAACAACTTTCATCGAAGACGAGGTTTGAATCCAATTCCACTCGAGTCTCAGCGCTTGAGCCTAATTAAAGGAATGACCTTCATTATAAGATGAGGTTCAAAACCGATTTCGACTGAATCTAGACATTCGAGTTTTAATCAAAATAGTGACCTTCGTTAATTTTTTAACTTAGGAATGAGAATAAATCTCGTTGAACGACGTGGCAACCTTCGACAGTTCCCAGACTGTTGATCAACATGGATTCGTCGCTTCATTTCATCAGCATTATGTCTTTAGTACATAATGCATCGCTTTGAGCCATGTCATCGTTGGTGCTAATTATGAACATAATTAATTGCATCGCTTCATTCCTAGTACCCTTTGGTGGTTTGGTGCTTATGATTTCGTGTAATGAATCCTAACCACTTGGTTGGCTCATTCGCCTATAAATAGGCCATTACTTTTCGAGAGGATCCATCTTCCTCCTCTGTGCCTTATTTCAAAATGACTTAGAGGGGACTTTGCATTTTAAGGCTCCCACCATCACTTCCTACTAAATTCCAAGCTCTTCAGTCTTTGATGATCATCACAGATGAGGTAGGAAAAATTGGTGACGTTGTTGCTTCAGGTAAAGCTTCTGATCCGATCCTTGATCTCTTGGTCTTTGTAGTAGCTTGCTCATTTGATGATTTCTCAATTTTTCAGAGTCAAAATCAGAATGTATTTCGACAACTTGTTGGGCTTTTGAATGTAACCCCAAAGAGATATCCTAAGTTCAAACATGCTTACTGTTTTGACATGCCATGCGCCCTCATGCATGCAGTCCTTTTTCTAGACTTCAGTCTATGTGGCAGCTTCGCAGACTCACAAAAATGCTTCTTTTTGGAAGAGTCAGCAAAATTGTTAGAGTTGCCTTCACGTTTTGCAGAGATGGGAGAAGTACTGATCCTATGCTTAGAGCTTGTGGTGTTTCTATTAGTAGTCAGTTTACCCAAGTAGGTAGGCATGTGCTACAAGCACCCAAGTTAAAAGTTGGGTATGGGAAATACTTTATGCCCAGGAACGGAAGATGAAACTTCAACAATAAGAACAGTGACGTCGTTGTAGACGAGGCTCGTAGTGTAATTTTGAAGGTCGTCGAAAGACTTGTAACCAAACTTCGGGTTGTAGTGAAAGTGTCATTGAAAGAACTTGTAACTGAACCTCGTAGTGTAACCGAAAGAACTTGTAACTGAACCTCGTAGTTCGAGTCTTCTAAGTTCAATCTATGTACTTCGACTTTCTATACTTTTAATTATATATGAATAAATTTCATAACTTTATCCATATATTGTTCTATTACTTTTTGTGTAATTGAAACATTTTAACTTAGGAATTTTAGCAAACCCTCAGCTTTCAACGGACTTGAGTTGTCTTTACCAACTGCCGTTTGAGTTGGACTAGCCATACTTTTCCCCTCAGTATGATGAGTTGTCAAAGAGTTTCTCTTAGACTTTAATACTAAATTTTCTCTTCTATCCTTAGCCTTTTTTAGGCTTCAGATCAAATGTAGGACAACGACGTTCAAAATATGACTAAGTGTTAAGAACGAAGCTCAACACATAGCGAACATATTGGGAAAATGAAGGTCATTTATAAAAATGATGATGTTGGGATGATCAAGTCATTTAATGACTTTGAATAGCAACGACAAAGAAAACAAAGGCACATCACTTGGTATGACTAAGTTGGAAAACAAACAACATTTGGGAAATTGATGACGTTAGGAAAATCACATCGTTCAATGACATAGTAGTATGATGATGGTGATAGAAACAAAGGCACTTCACTTGGTAGGCCTAAGTTAGGAAAACGAACGTCATTTGGGGAGATGATGATGTTAGGAGAATTACATCGTTCAGTGACTTAGTAGTATGACGATGGTGATGAAAACAAAGGTACATCATTTGGTAGGCCTAAGTTAGAAAATGAACATTATTTAGGAAAATGAAGACGTTAGAAAAATCACATCATTCAGTAACTTAGCAGTATGATGATGATGATGAAAACAAAGGCACATCACTTGGTAGGCCTAAGTTAGGAAAACGAACATTATTTGGGAAAATAACGACGTTAGAAAAATCACATCGTTTAGTGACTTAGTAGTATGATGATAGTGATGAAAATAAAGGCACATCACTTGGTAGCCCTAAGTTGGGAAAATAAACGTCATTTAGGGAAATGACGACGTTAGGAAAATCATGCAGTAACACATCACATAGTAAGTTACTATTGGAAAGATATTATTTTGAGCAAAAACATCAACAATCAGAGGTGATCATTAATATGATGATTTTATAGTCCCACTATCCTATTGAAGAGAATTAGTGAGGGAAATTTGGAGGAGACAAAGTGAGGAAACCATTACCTTTATTTGCTTCTCCTCCTACTATGAGGCATATTTGACCATGAGGACTATGGGTAATATTTCTTCAGAAATTTACCATTGATAAGCATCATAACTTTGTCACCATCTTGAGTGACAAGGCGATAAGCTCCATTTGAGTAAAGAGTTTCTACCATAAATGGTCCCTCCAATTTTGTCTCAAACTTTCCTTTCTTTTTAGAATTCAAAATCATTGAGCGTCGAATGGTAAGAACCAAGTCACCTTCCTTCAATGTGTGGTATCTAACCTTTTTATCAAATACTCTAGAACTCTGAGCTTGATAAAGCTCGATGTGTTGTTGAGCCAGTAGTCCCTTTTCATCTAGCGCTTCCAGTTCTTCAAGACGTCGGCGATAACTTTCTTCCATTGTCATGCCAGTTGCAAGTGCTATTCGCAAAGATAGAATTTGGATTTCCAATAGTAATATGGCTTCACATCCATATACTAAGGAATATGGTATCACTCCTATCGGAGTACGAACCGTTGTGCGATAAGCCCACAAGCTTTGGCCCAACTTCTCATTCCAGTGTCTTTTATTCGTCGAAACCACCTTAGTAAGAATTCTAATGATGGTCTTGTTGAATACTTCTGCTTGCCCATTAGCAGCAGGGTTATAGGTTGTTGAAGTAAAATTCTTGATCTTGAATTTATCACAGAATTAGGTGAAGGCTTAGCTAACGAACTAGGGTTCGTTGTCATGGATGATACACCTCAGAATGTCGTATCTGTATATGATGTGATGTTTTAAGAATTTAACAACATCACTCATTTTAACTTCTCTCAACGGGATTGCTTCTGCCTATTTAGAGAAGTAATCAGTTATCGATAAAATAAAGCGATGTCCCTTGGAAAAGAGTAGGGTTATTGGGCCAACAATGTCCATACCCCATGTTTTAAAGGGCCATGTAGTGGCTGATGGGTGAAGATGCTCGAGCGATCGATGCATGTAGTTAGCATGAATTTGGTAAGCATGGCATCATTTGGCATAGGCGACGGTGTCTTGTACCATGTTAGGCCAGTAATAACCCAATCTACATAGTCGGTCCCATAATTTAGGGCTAGGCTAATGAGCTCTACAAATGCCATCATGAGCTTCCTTAAGAGCTTCTTTTGCTTCTCTATTTGACAAACAACAATGTAATAGTCCGTCATACGATCTTCGGTATAAAGTCTGAGATTGGGCATCATAGTAGAACCTAGGTGCTCATCTACGAATAGATTCTCTTTCCTTGATGTCTTCAGGCAATAAGCCATATAAGGCATAATCAATGATCATAAATCGCCAATCTTTAGGTTCGAGCATTGTAGGCTCATCTTCAATCACGTTGATCTGCAACACATACTTCGACTTGAACAAATGTTTGCTTATCACAGTGATTTGTTGAGTAGCTCCTTTAGGTAGAGCCAGTGTGGCTACAAGCGATGCTAATGCGTCGGCATAAGTATTATTGAGATGGGGTACATAGTCAATAGAGAAACCCTCAAAAGATTCGGCCAATGCGATCACTGTTGTATGATAAGGGATGAGATCCTCATTTCTAACCTCATATTCTCCCTTCATATGATTAAGGATGAGTTGCGAGTTGCCATTTGCTTCTAGGTGCTTCACCCCCAGCTGTCTAGCTATATCAAGGCCAACCAAAAAAAGCATTGTATTCGGCTACATTATTAGAGCATGGCTCTGTTAGAGAAACGACCTGTGGTAGCACATGATTTTATGGAGAGATAAAGACTACCCCCACTCCGGTAATAACTTGACCAGTAGGGCTTGCTCTTGCCACACCATCGAAATATACTTTCCATACCTGCTCTTTATAAACAACATTGGCTTCATATGTTTCATCTGGTTTGTCCTGATACAATTCCACCTTCCCCTTCAATGGATAGTTAGCCATAAGGTCACAAATAGCTTAACCTTTTACTATCTTTTGAGGTTTGAAAAGAATATCATATTGGGAGAGCAACAATGCCCATCTAGTGAGTCGTCAGTTCAACACGCTTGGCTATGTCATGAATACCTGAATAGGATTGATCTGGGAAATGATATGTATGGTTTTCCTAACTAAATAATATCGCATCTTTTGAACCATGAAGACCAGCGCCAAACATTCCTTCTCAATAAGAGGATAACGAGTTTCAGCACCCGATAAAGTCCTACTGAGATAGTAGACAGCTTGTTCATGACCTTTTTCATCATCTTGTGCTAAGAGTCCTACCAATGCATGATTTGTAGCGCGGATGTATATCAAGAAAGGTTTGCCTAACTTTTGTGCGACCAATACAGGCAGATTGGAGAGGTATTGCTTGTTGACAAGCTTCATCCCATATAAAGGATACCCCTTTCTTCATTAGTTTTGAGAATAGTTGGCATTTGCCTGACATGTTAGAAATGAATCTATGAATATATGCCAATCGCCCTTGTAAGCCCTGAAGCTCCTTGAGATTTCTAGGAGGTGGTAGCTCTCAGATGGCTTTGACTTTGTCTGGATCAAGATGAATTCCGTTAGCTGTGACCACGAATCTGAGGAATTTACTGTTAGGTTCATCTTCAGTTGGTGTGCCCGCATTCTTTTCATTTAAAGTCGCCTTCATTATCGATTTCAATACAACTTTAATCGTTTACAATGAATTCAAATAACAAAAATAAAAATTACAACTCTCTTTAAAATAAACACAAGAATCATTTATCGGCTCTTGCTTGAGTGGGTTCTTGGCCGGTGACGGGGACGTTGATACCCATGACCAAAAGTTTGAGAGGTATATGTGCAAATTAGGCCGAAATTTATAGTGGGGTCTATTTGCAAAATTGGCCAAAATTTGTAGAGGGGTTTATTTAAAAAATTGGCTAAAAATTGTGAGATATTGAAGACGATGGTTTTCCTTCCTCGGCCATGGCCAAATTCAAATGTGTTCGTGGCTAAAATTCAAACTTGATTATGAGGGGTATTTTGGGTATTTCACCCAAAAGTTAATCATGAAGGTTTTAAATGCAATTTGAACCTATTGTTTGCATGCATAAAACTCATAGGTTTAATTAGACTTCAACTATAAAATTCTATTCTATTTATAGAAATTTAGTTAAAGTTCATAATTTCTATTTTAATTTTCGGGTACTTGAATTTATGATTGTACCTGATTCGTTGATTTTTGTTGCAGGTTAACCATGTCTCCGCGCCGATCGCGATTCCATAGGAGTTGCTCCTCTTCTCAGCATAGCTAGAGGGAGGCTCCCGTAGCGTCCTCTTACGGAGGTGAGCTTTTATGCTTTCTATATCCTCGTTTGACCCCTTCGCGGATCATTCGGGAAGAATTGATGTCCTCCTTCGCGGGGATTAAGGTTTCGGGATGACTCGTGATTCGATCATGCCCTCGTTTGGCCCCTTCGTGGGTCATTCGGGAAGAACTGACATCCTCCTTCGTGGGATCGAGGTTTCAAGATGATTTGTGGTTCTATCATGCCCTCGTTTGGCCCGTTCGTGGATCCTTCGGGAAGAACCGACGTCCACCTTCATGGAGATCGAGGTTTCAAGATGATTTGTGGTTCTATCATGCCCTCGTTTGGCCCCTTCGTGGGTCGTTCGGGAAGAACCAACGTCCTCCTTCGCGGGGATCGAGGTTTCAAATAGCGTGTTTTGCATGGCCAATTCACATCTTCCGGCATATTGGGGTGATTTCGTATTGTATTGCACTACGTGGGTCGGGGTACAATACAACGTTGCTTACGTGATGATGCATACCATTCTTCCGGTATAGGACACTCGAAATCATCTCGCCAATCACTCAATGAAAGACTCTATCTCGCTAGCTTGTGAGATGAATTTAATCATTGTATAATTCATGAATAATTTTTTGATTCCACGTTTGTTTTGGTGTAGTTGAATTCCCCGCGGACAGCCTGCCTCCTCACACTACTAGCGGTTATAGTGGAGAGAGTTTTGCTTCTGTTGTCGATAGGTAGGCTATTTGTCCGACCCCTCAGTTTGATAAGAGTCCCTCCGAGGAGTTCTGTCGCTTGATATGAGATGGGGGTCATCGTTCACTGTGTTAGTTGATTATGTTGGTCTCTTTATTTTGATGATGTTTAACAAATAATTTATCACTAATGTTATTTGTCTAGTATTTGTGTTTTCTTATTTATTATAGATAAACAACTAGTTGGAGGATGGATGGAATCGAGCATTCACGATCATATCAAATGGAGGCTGGCGGAATTGTGGAGTGAAGCTTATGCAATTAAAATTGAAGATCCAAGTTCTAGCTTCATCCGCAAGCGTACCAAGTTTAGCTACATCGAAGACCAATCAAGCTTGGGTATATTTAGTTTAGGTTTTATACTATGTGTGTTAGTACTTTAAGCTCAATCATATATATACACACATATTTGGTTTTTATATATATAGTTATATATATACACAAGTTTTGATTTATGGACTTAACAATTATTATATTCATATTTTATTAGGTCTATAAAATTATTTCGTAGGGTTTCAAAATATTGTTTATGTTAAAACATTAAATTTCAAGTATATCACATTTTTATGTTTTGGACACACTTGCAAAATACATGAGTTTTCATAAATGGGAAACTCAATTTGAGAAATTCTTTCTCTAAAATGTTCAATTTCACGTTTATAAATTTTTTTCTAAAGTTTTATCAATTTTGGAATTAATTTGTTATGTTTATTTGAATTTACAAAATCAAGTTTTTAATTAGCTCATGTTCGTGCACATGTTCATGCATGTTTCTACAAAACTGATGCGTTTTCACAATTGGGAAATGCGATTTGAAAAATTTATTCGTTTACATGTTTATCATCGTATATACAAACATTTCCCCAAGTTTTACTATTTTTAGAGTTGTTTTGTTATTTCCAATTGAATTTTCAAAACCGTATTTTCTACAGTTTTTTTCAGAAACTGTATATCTGTGTTCAAACAGTTATTTCCCTCAACTGTAAAATGATATTTAAGAAATTCTTTATCTAACATGTTTATCTACAAGTCTAGAACCTTTCCTCAAAATTTCATGATTTTTAGAGTTGATTTACTATTTTTAATTGATTTTGTAAAGTCAGATACGCAAAATTCCAGAATCTGTCAAAAAACAGAAACTGTCTGTGAACAGTGCGGTCGACCGCACTGTAGCATGGGCGATCATCATTACTGTAGCACCCAACCATTGAACAGTAATGATAACTTCTATTTTTTTGGTTTTTTAGTAGGTTTTTGAGATTTTTTGGGTTGTTTTCTTCTATCCTATATATACCCCTTTGCCATATCTATTTTCTACACCCAAGAGAGTGTTTTAAACGAGTTTTAACAAGGGTTTGTGTTTGGTTTAAGTTTTGTTTAAAAATCTTTTAAGCAATTTGAGAGTTGATTTTGTGAAATCAATTTCACAGGAGCTAGAAGAGATCATCACTTGGTGTTTGAGCTTCAATCCATCTCTCTCTCTCTCTTGTTATCTAGAGAAGTTTTCCTAAACTCAATTCTAGCTTTTATTTATAAATTTTTGTTGATTATCATTTCTATTAAGCTAGTATTTATATTATGATTATTAGTTGATTTTATTTCACTCATTGTTTACACACACCCACTGATGCGGCATAATTATGTACCAAAATTGCAAGTGCACAATTTATCAAGTTATAGTATAAAAAATATCGATCCCACAAGGAAGGTGATTTTAAGAGATTATTAGAAATGGTTCTTATGTTTTGTGCATGACACTTAGGAATAAAGAATAAGTGTGATTGTGATGAGTGGTTGTTTTGATTTATGTGCAAGAGATAATAAATTGAATTTTAGAGAAGAAAGAATCAAAGAATAAATGAAATCACAAGGCAAAAAAAAAGAATGAATAAAATCAAGAAATAAACCAAGAATGAGAAGAAAATTTAAAAAAGTTAAGATGAAGGATTCAAAAGAGGTAAGAAATCTAGAATATAATCCACTAACCAATTTCAATTACAAAATACAAACTATTCTCTTTTTATCATATTTCAACTTAGATTTATTAAGCATAGATTATCAAACCATTTAAGGAAAGTGTAACCTATCAAATTATCATCTAAGTTAAAATTACTATTCATGATAAGAACAACAACATGATAATAATCCTAGAATTCATAAGCATAACCTATCAAGCTATTTAAGGAAAGCATAGATTATCAAATTATTCTTCT